AAGCATTTTGCAGTTAGCCAAGTGGTAGTCGTGCGGTACAAAGTAAACCAATATCCCACCTTGCGTGGTGTGGTCGAGATGGCTATTCCTATGGCTGCACACTGGTCTGATAAGTACAACAATTTGGTCGAAGACATGGCTGCAAAAGGCTACACCATTTTCAGTTATCTTCCATTAGTTCCTGTAGAGGAAATGGCCAAGGCATAGAAGCAGTTAGAGGCATCCGCTGGTAAGAAGGAAGATTCAAGCAGCTCAAGTGAAGGTGATTCCAACTAGGAAGAATAGAGGGTAATCTTCGTTGTGTTTAGTGTGCTTTGCTATGAATATTATTATATGCTGAAGCTGTTGATTTGAGTAGTAAGGCCTACCTATGTGCATTTGGAATTTTGTATATAGATGACTTGGCATGACTTAGATTGTGCTAGCAATCCAAATTGACGCTTGTGATCGTCTAAGGGTGGCTTGTCAAATGCCGTGTAAGAAAATTATAGTCGTAGTATCCTCTGGACCAAGTTCTTGACATTTCTTCTTGTTTTTGATCAGGCAGCAATGAGTACGAGATATTTGGTTCCTATTTGTTGCAAGAGCGAATTCCTTTTCGAATATGGTGAATGTGAAGGGATAAGCGAAGCTATACTTTCTGTCAACATTTTGGAGTTCTTTACTCAAGTCTTTATATTCACAATTTTGTTGGCAAAAGCCTATACCCATCGACTCTCAAGAGGTAGAAATAATACCATTAGCTTAAGCATTGGACTGAATCTGTAACCAAGCAACTGCAAGACCAATCGAACTGTCCTTTCTAGAACATCTTCATATAAATCGAGGCAATCCAAGTTACCCAATGTTGATTCGATGTCTTCAACACATTATTATATCCACAAAACAAATAACTTAAAAAGCATTGACGACATACTAGGTGCTTAAGAAGGATAATTCCATCGAATCTAGATAAGTTGTGGAAGTAAATTGTTAAAGGTGATTGTTCTTGTCTAACAATCATTAATATTCTTAATACAATGTCATTAAGTACCTTAGTACTCCTATTGTTGTAATTGACATGAAAATCATTCTCGTGGTGACAAAATATCCCCCAATCACATTTTCTCACATTCAATCAAGAACCACTTTGTTTATTACAGATTTCAAGTCTTTTCTAGTTTAAATTTATCGCTTTCCTTAGTTCAACAAACCAACCCCCCCCCCACACATTTAATCTATTTCGTATATTATTATGAATTTTACTTTTTAGTACGCAATTAATATAATTGAATCAATTTTCTGCGGGAAATGACCCTTACTTGCCATATTACTATTTGAAACGACACATTTAAGTTAAGTAAGGAAAATTAATTTGAACATGATATGCAATGTATCAATTTTGGCGCCGTGTCACCGGGGATTGTTCTATCAATTTTTTAATTGCAATATTTTTCTTTTTGTTGTTTTTATTTTTGTTTGTTTCTTTGTTATTTAGGTTGTGAATGAACAAAAAGCCTATAACACACTACAACCTAAGATCAAGAAAAGAGGCTGACACATCGGAAAGTGGAGAAGACATTTCTCCAACTAGACATCTAAGGCGATTGAGCATTGAATCCTCAACTGACTCCGAACACATAGAGCCCGAAATGGCGGATGCAAATCGAACCTTAAAGGAACTTGCAGCTCCAACTTTTGTGCATTCAATATCCTCAAGTGGAGGTAGGATTTGAATTGAAGTCCGGGATGATTCATCTACTTCTCACATTTCATGGATTCGCCAGAGAGGATCTAAATAAGCATTTGAAGGCGTTTCATGTGGTTTGCTCAAGCATGAAACATGCGAGTATATCGAAAAAGCAAGTGAAATTGCAGGCATTCCCTTTTTCTCTTGCAGACACTGCTAAGGAATGACTCTATTATTTGTCGGTCGATCTTATTACCATGTGGAATGAAATGCAAAAACTTTTCTTGGAGAGGTATTTCCCAGCTTCAAAGGCCACAAACATCAAAAAAGAAATCTGTAGCATTCGACAATCTCAAGGGGAAAATCTCTATGAATATTGGGAGAGATTCAAAAGGCTATGTGCTAGTTGCCCAAACCACCAAATCAGTGAGCAATTACTTCTACAATACTTCTATGAAAGGTTGCTCCCGATGGAGAGAAGTATGATTGATGCGGCCAGTGGAGGAGCTTTAATGGATAAAACACCGGCAGTTGCTAGGGTTTTGATAGCCAACATGGTCGCAAACTCACAACAATTTGGTAGTAGAGAAGTGACACCAGTTAAACAAGCAAGTGAGGTAGGAATAATCTCTCAAATTGAACGACAATTAGCCAGTCTTACATCATTTGTGCAACAAATGACACTTGGGACAATGCAACAAACAAAAGTGTGCGGGAATTGTTCTATTGTGGGACATCCTACCTATGCATGCCCGACACTACAAGAAAGAGCCTCAGAGCAAGCAAATGCCATTAGGGGATTTCCAATGCAATAGCAACAGGGACATAGATATGATCCATATGCTAACACTTTTAATCCTGGATTGAGAGATCATCCTAATCTCAGTTACGGAGGAAATCATTTCATAGCTCCACAATCACAGTTTAATCATTCCCGGGGTTCAATCAACAAAGGCAACAACAACACTCTCAACTTCGTCAACAAACTTCGTCTCAAAGTTCAGAGATGTCTCTTGAAGATATGGTGAAGTCCTTAGCTTCTAGTACAATGCACTTTCAACAAGAGACAAAAACCTCAATTAAGAATTTGGAGACACAAGTGAGTCAATTGGCCAATAAGGTAGGTAAATTGAAGGCTCAAGGATCAGGAAAACTCCCCTCTCAAGCAATCAACCCGAGAGAAAATGCCAGTGCTGTGACATTAAGAAGTGGAAAAATTTTGGAAGAGACACCAAGGAAAATGAAAGATCAAGTTGAGGAGTCAACGCAAGAGAAGAACTTAGCGTGTGAGAAAGATGAAGCTAAGACTCCAACCTCGGGATCTAAGGTAGATTCTAAAAGTCCTATTCCTACTTACGTTCCCTCCCCTCCATTTCCTAGCAGATTTGCAAAGTCCAAAAGGGATGAACATGAGAAGGAAAATTTGGAAACGTTTCGCAAGGTTCAAGTGAACATACCACTTTTGGATGCCATTTCCACCAAAATGTAAGGATCCAGGAAGTTTTACCATCCCTTACATTATTGGTAATACTAGGTTTGAAAAGGCAATGCTAGATTTAGAAGCATCCATTAATGTCATGCTATATTCTATTTATGCTTCTTTATTTTTGGGATCACTTAAGGAAACCAGTGTTATTATTTAACTTGCTGATACATCTAATGCATTTCCAAAGGGTGTGTTAGAGGATGTTTTGGTGCAGGTAAATCAATTGATTTTTCCAGCAGATTTCCATGTTCTTGACATGCAAGATGAATCAACATCTATGACGTCATCATTGCTCTTGGGAAGACCATTTATGAGGGATGTGCGTACAAAGATAGATGTACATGATGATACTTTGACAAAGGAGTTTGATGGTGAGATTATTCACTTCAATAGCTTTGAAACAATAAGGTATCCTAGTGATATTCATGCTTGTTTTCAATAGATATAATGGATTCATTTGTGCAAAAAAATTTCAATTTATCAAATGAAGATGCATTGGACACCACTTTGATTAAAAGCATTGATGTTGATAATCTCACCGAGTTGAGCAAGAATCTACATCTGTGTGAGGATATTGTTAAAATCGTGGCATCACTTGAGTCACTACCGAGTATTCCACCAAGGTATAATATCTCCTATATTACTCTTCCGATATCTAAAGAGAAACTTTTACCTTCGGTGATGCAAGCCCCCACCTTGGAACTCAAACATTTTCCCGAGCATTTGAAGTATGTTTGGGAGAGGGGGAAACAATACTGGCGATCATAATAAAGAACCTCACAACACTTTTTTTTTGTTTTTGTGAATTTTTGTCGCCAATGGTCCCCAACCATCATCACAGCCATCACCGTCAATACCACTAGGGGAGTATTTGAACCTTTTGCACTTTCTATTTCTTTTTGTTTTTATATTGAGGACATTGTGCAATTTAAGTTTGGGGGTGAGGAGGTGGTATGTGCTAAATTTTTTGTGGAATTTTGTGGTTT